GAATATCGAAGACTCCTTCGGGTGCCTCGGAACAACGCCTCGGACGACATACGCAGCAGCACACGATGGATAGATGGATGGAAGTTGATGGCTATTCCCTTTGGAACGGGCGTTAGCTTGCGCCACCTAGCCTAAGCCTAAAAAGACGCCATAACAAGTTAGGCGATCCCGACGCCACCGCTGGCATCTCGCTGAGCAAAAGCTGTAAAGTTGCCAGACACGCGAACAAAATAGTATCAGGATCCCCTAGGAATGTTTACGTCAGCGCGGCTCCGGGCAAAAGCGTGACGTTGTTACCACGTGATGCGCATCCCCGGAAGCAGAAGGAGCGAGCTCTTCTCCGTGTGAATACCCGTGTGCATTGTCTGAGTTCACGAGCCACGATTCTGCTTGCGATTTTCGGTTGCGACCTCACTCGTGCATGAAGGAAACTCATGGATGAGAGCTGAAGCGCGTGCTGCCTCCATGGGCCTTTTGACGCGCGAGACCAAAAATCGCAGGCAGAATTAAACCACCTGAAAGGTGCTTGAGTCTAATACAGTCCGCCGACATTCCTATTTAAAATAAACTCAAGAAAATATTTACATCCAAGTGAAATCTGTCGGGGAACACGTGTACAGTATGCAAACTTGAATGATCAAAGCGAAAATACTTTATCTCGTTTTAATGATGTTATGTTGTTGTACCGGGTGAAACAAGGAGACGGTAGGCTTTTTAAATCGACCGGAAAATTCGGTTTCTTAACCTATCGCGCTACGACTTTGTGCAGCGTTGCCCACACATGGTGCATTGTTTTCGTAAAATTTGCAAAGAGCGGACTTACCTGAGGAAAAAGTAAAGAAAGAAAAAGGCTTAGCTCCTATGGAAACGCAGCGACGCCACCGGTCTGCAATCAACACGGCGCCGTTTTGCACGGTAGGCAAGAGATGGCGCAAGCGGTCGCGACGCCAACTGCCGCCAACGAACGAGCAGACGACGCCGAGAGCCGGCGTAATTAGCAGACAAGGAACTGCAGTTCCTTGTTGTTACCGCGCCTGTCATTTTTGTTTCTGCGACTGTCGCCGCCTGCGGAAAGCGCGCCGCTTTTGAGTCGAAAAGATCGTCTTCTAAAGAGCCTTTGAGGAATACCTTTTTGCGCGCTGTTTTCCAATTTCAGAAGGAATACCTCGGCCGGCTCTCGGCGCCCGTACGCTCGTTCGTTGGCGACGTTCGTTGCGCCATCTCTTGCCTACTGTGCAAAACGGCGCCGTGTTGATTGCATACCGGTGGCGTCGCTGCGTTTCCATAGGAGCTAAGCCTTTTTCTTTTTTTGATTTTTCCTCAGGTAAGTTCGCCCTTTGCAAATTTTACGAAAAAATGCACCATGTGTGGGCAACGCTGCACAAAGTCGTAGCGCGATAGGTTAAGAAACCAAATTTTCCGGCCAATTTAAAGAGCCTACCGTCTCCTTGTTTCACCCGGTAGTTTTCGAAAATAGTACTTCTCGTGGCTGAGCGCAATAGACCGATGTCACCAGCCAGTTTGACTACGTCACCGCTGCCGCAATGCATCGAGGGAACATTAGTCCTTCTGCGCATGCAATAACCTTGCTGGAGCTCTGCGCTTGTGGAGCGCGAGACGGCTCGAGTCCTCGCATGCACGACCTTCTGCCTCCCGTGAACTAAAGTTATGGCGGCGTCAAGCATGCGCCGAACGCTTGGTGAGATGGGTCTATTAACTACCGCAAAAATGTTTCACCCGCATAATAGCAAAAATCACTATTAATTTCAAACGTCTGGTGGCAACTGCGTTGTAAACATGATCGGACTTCTGTGTTTAGAACTACGTAGTTTGGGACAAACAGAATAATGCCGTATTTGCTAAAATACCGAAGAGGTTGTATTTACCAAAACATGAAAGACGTTTACAAATCCCTGTAATGCGAAACTAGAGCGCAGCTCTTGAGGAGGACGAGGGGAGGGTACGGAGGGGAGGGTATGCCCCTCTTCCTCCTCCGTACCCTCTCCTCCTCCTCTCCTCTCATCCACGTCTCCTGCTCTCCTCCTTCTCCCGCTCCCCTGCTCCTTCTTTCTTCTCCTCCCCCTCCGTACCTCTCCACTCCTTCGTACTCTCCCCTCCTTCTCCTGCGTACCCTCCCCTCCTCCTCCTGCATACCCTCAACCGTCTCCCACAGTTTCCCCGCTAAATTTAGCTAAAAATTTACGCCACGTGACCTCAACACCAATTCAGTTTCCCCGCTAAACTTAGCGGGGAAAATGACGTCACATGACTTGCTGTCATGTCACCTATGAACAAACACAGCGTTTCCGCTAGATTTAGCGGGAAAATTGACGTCACGTGACCTCAACATCTATTCGATTCCCAGCTAAATATACACCAACTCATGTTTACAAGCAAACCGGAGCGCCCCTAGCGAACGCCACCGGCGCCGCGCATGCGCAATGGGGGTGTGGGCAAGAAGCTCGCCGTCGCCCATAAACAAACCATTGAAATGCGATGTTGTCGGCGTCGGTGTGAGTCCCCCTGCCCTTTTTCGCGTTCGAATTGTTGATTCTACGTCTTCCTGGGCGATGTCTGACTATCTTGAGCGGCGTCAGCGAAATTACCGAGGCTGGTTACACAGCAAAACTTCGCGTGAATAATGTGACATGTGGCGATTCATTCCGCGTGGACGCCGCAGTATGTACGCTAAAGCCTGACTCGCATGATGAGATTTCACTCGCAATTTTCAGTCGCGACGCCGTTCGGACTGCAAAAGCGTGAACCGTAGATGAGATGGTCGACGTCGATACTGAAAATCGCAAGCAGAATCGGACCAAGTGAATTAGGCATAACAAGTCGGTGATGGTCACTGGTAACAATGATCAACATCTCTTTGTATCTACTGTTTACATCGAGCCTGCTTACCAACCTTCAAATTTAAGTCTTTTGAGGCCTTCACTAACTTCTTATCGCAAGTACCGGGCCAACATTTGGTGTACGGACCGGCGTCCTCAAAGAGAGCAGACGACAAGCAGGAACGTTTGAAAGAGCAGACGACAGTTCGAACGATCAGTCGGCCGTTCGAACTTGAAGACGCACTGAACGTAGTCCGCAGGTGGTCCACACAACTTGACGGTTTTCTGGCGTTCATGTTGGAACAAAACAAATAAATCTGATGGCCAGAAGTATCCGTGAATTCAACCCAAAATGCTTCCCGCCCAAGCAATCGTGGTCCGACGGCGTCTGGTTTTCCCTCTTCATGGCACATATTCACGTTCTCGGACGAACCGAGCGCATAAAAACTGACCTTCAAACCTTTCTCGACCCTTTTGGTACAGCCCTAGTCGCAGCATTTTGACAAGAAGGCAGGTTTTTGTCTGTGGTTCCTTTCAAAACAACACAGGAATACACGTCTCAGATGGGCACTTCCGCCCACAGCCCCGGACCGGAAGTGCGTCCGACGCGCCACCACCGCGCCGTGACGTAACAGAGATGAGTTCGTGTATACGTCTGGCATGGGGACTTCTGCCCACAGCCCCAGACCGGAAGTGCGACCGCCGCGCCACCACCGTGCCATGACGTCACAGTGTTGAGTTCATGTATAGCTAAGAATTGAATCGCTGTTGAGGTCACGTGACGTCGATTCCCCGCTAAATTTAGAATGGAATCAAATTGGTGTTGAGGTCACGTGACGTCAGTTTTCCCGCTAAATTTAGCGTAGTTACGCCGACGCTGACGGTGACGCTACGAAAACCCTTAACGGGCGCCTAAGAGCTGCGCTCTAAAACAACCTTAAAATCGTTTTCTCTCCAAAGTCGTCTCCTATGCAATCCGCTGCAACTCAAGAAGGAAGGGCAAGGGAAAGGAAGGCCGGAGAGGGGGAAGCAGACGGAACGCGGGAGAGGAGAGGGGGAAATATCCTCCTCTCTCCAGCGTTCTGTCTGCTTCCTCCTCTCCGGCCTTCCTTTCTCTCGCCCCACCTTCTTGAGTTGCGACGGACTATAGCAGACAAGATCCTTCTGTGCAGCTACACACACCGACCTGACTCGTATTTTGAGCCGCGCTCACCCTTCTAATATATCATACAACAAAGTTTGGCGACGCTGTACGAGGCGTGTTTGTTTCTTGTATGGGGAGCGTCAGATTGGTCAGCCACAACTGTCCGCAGACGTATTTCATGCTTCGAACGTGTTTCAGGCATGCCTGCGAATGTCATCGTGACTGCAGCGATGTCTTTTGTATGACGTACGAGCAGAGCGACTGCGGCTTTATTCACATAAAGTCTTGGCAGCGCGCCTTTGGCGGATGAGCCGACAGCACGCTGGCGAGTCAACCAACTGAGAACAAATACCCCTCTCTTCTACACGTCACTGCGGCCAGGACTGCTGGCGCATCCTTTACATTGAGCATCGGAATCAAGCAACGAAAGCTCACAAACTGACCGATTATCTGGAACGACAGCTTCCTGCTGTCTGATGGTTAAAGCGAACTGATGATTAGAACGAACTGGAGGTTAGAGCGAACAAAATCCCACCCCTTCTGCCAATAAAGGCGCAGTCACACTGCCCATACATCACACAAAACACGCGCTCTTTTCTGCAATCACGCCTAAATTATCTGTGGAGACGCCTTAGCATGTTCGAAGCTTATTCGCTTCATTCATAAGTCGGCCTAAAACATGTCTGCGCACCGTTTTTTTGACCAATGGAACAATACCCTCATCCAAGGAAGAAACGCGACTTGTGTCTGCAGGCTGTCTTTTGAGTGATTTTTAACAGCGCGGCCGTGGCTTAATCAACCCTTGCTTTTCACTTCGCAGGACGTGACACGCAGCAGCGGTCAGGATGGGCCATCAGAGCATCCGTGACAGCGCCGAAGCCCCTGGTCGCCTCCTGAACCCCCCGAAGTGACTCGCCCAGATCCCCTTGAAGCGTCCAGGAAGGGCCCCTTCAGGATGACCTGGGAAGGTGTGGTCACGCTGCGAAAAAAGAAGAAAGGCGATTAGCGTGGCCGCTGAAATGAAGCAGGAGTCTCCAGAAGGAGACGTCCTGCCCAGACCGGCCTGTTCCTCCTCAACTTCCAGCTCGCCCGAGCACGACCATCGAGCCAGACATGACGACAACGGTTACGACCTGCCTATGGACCTGCGCAAGAAGTCGCCCAAAAGCTCCGAAGATGCGTCCAACGATGACAGCGACGCGGAGGCCTCCAGCTCCGGTTCCGTGAGGCGGGTGTCTCATCCGCACGCGATGCACCACGCCTGGCAGAAGATTTTTCAAAGCGCCTTGCCGTCCCCAGCACCTCCTGTCCTTCAACAGGGTAAAGGTCCTCCGGAACAGGCAGTTCGGTTCTCGGCTCCCGACGAAAAGGACCCTGACCAGCCCGCGGCCTCGAGAAGCAACCCCCTGACCAAGTCTTCGCACGATGACAAGGAGAACCAGTGCGACTGCTCCTGCAGAGGAGACGAGTGCGACGTCACCCTGCTGGACTTGCGGAAGGATTCATCCTCGAAGTCTGGATCAGAATCACGAGTTTCCAGCTGTCCCTACCGTACCGACAAGGACTCCAATCCCACTTTAATACGTTTCCTAGAAGCGAGAGCTCTTTCGCCGCCCCATCGGCAGGATGACCTTCCGGAAGACCTGTCCTCGACCAAGGTCCCTCGGTCTGTCATCGTTCCTGCCCAGGACTCCGTGGTAAAGCGCTCGTCCAGTTGCTCCCGTCTGTTCGAGATAACAAGCGAGAGCCTGGTAGAGCGTCTGATGCGAGCAAGGTGCAAGTCGGACAGCGAGATTCAGCATCGAAACAGCAGTCAGTCCTCGAGATCCGGAACGGAGGAGTCGCTTCCCTCTCCCCCTTCTGAACGCAGCGCGTCGCTGACACTAAAGCGACGGATCTTGGGTGGCCTACATGCGGCGGACGGGCAGACAAAAGCTAAAGAGGAAGCACTGAAGGTCGCCAGACTCAACTCGGAGATAGACGCGAAGCCAGCCTCCCTCCCATGCTCACCACCGAACGACCAGCGACCGCAGCAGGAGACCCTGTTGCAGCAGCTTCGCCAGCTGGCGCCCGCAGCTCTGCCGTTCAGCATCTACGCATACTACACGCAGATAATGCAGAGGCTGCACGAGCACGAACTCCTCAAGCGACACCTGGAGGGCATCGCCGTGTCGGCCGCCATCCCGGCGCAGGCCCTCGGCGCTGCCAGGCCTTCGCCGGCGACTGGACTGGACTCCGTCGAAGACAGCGACGAGCTGGCGTCCGGCCTCGACACGTACAACTGCAGCATGAGAAAGCGGGCGCCTCGGGCGCTCACGGGGAAGCACGTCAAGCACGGCACCGGGGCTAGCCCGGCGACCTTGCTCACACTGCGCCAGAAGATCCAGGAACGTCAGCGTGCGCGGCAGCTGGGTCTGCTCGAGCCCACGGTGCGCACCTTGAAAGGGACGCGGAGGGGCTTCGGCAAGGGACCCGCCAAGAAGCAGCCCCTCAAGAAATGAAGGAAAAGGGCTCTCAAAGAAAATGGGCAAAAAAGAAAAAAAAAAAGGATATTTTTATACTACCTTTTAAACGCGTCCGAACAGCGTTCCTACTCCAGAACGCTTTCGCCGAAATTGGGCGTGACCTCTCAGTGCCGTCACCAAATAGCCCACATGGCAGAATATGCATTCGTCTTGCCTTCACCTCCCTGTCTCGTCTTCGCTTACTTGTGCGAATATTGTGCTGCTCTTTGGTGCATTCGAAATTTATATAAAAAACAACTTGCTTTTCGTGTATCGAAATGAAAAATAATCGCGAAGCGCTCCTACAGTAACCAAAGCCGTACAATGTAAAACTTTCTGTCATTTTCCTATTCGTAGGGTCCAACTATTGTGGGCAGATAAACTTAAATGGACAGTGTCTTTCACGGCCTGAACCGAAAGCACAGCCGACGCCGAGATTGTTTGCTTCTTCCCTGGACGAGCTCCGGTCCGCGGGTGCACCATCGAAGCTTTTCGATGTGGCTTCATCACTAGTGGTTTTATGTGTCCCTAATCCTTGAAGAAATAATGCATTTCCGCATAAGTGCTTGCTCTGCTGACACATTGTACATCACCTCTCGTATTCCATCCTCTTAGAATAGCTCTCGTTCGCCTTCTACTTAAATAAACTTGTGCCCTCAGCACATCCTCTCCACATGTTAAGGCAACAAATTTTGCTTACGAACCCTCTCTAATATCGTAATATTGAAAAACACAGATACGCCACTAGTTTTATATTTGTAATAAAACGAATTCCCACATAAAGAGGCTGGCGAATTGAATCCGCAGACTTAAGCTTTCCAGGCAAGAAGCACAACCTCGCAGTATGGCCTGTGCAAGATAGCACAGCACAATATCCGACGACTTCGGGAAAGACACTTAGGTATCCCAGTTTACATCATATCCTCCCTCTATTCACTGGGATTCTACCTGCCAAAATATGAGGAGGAAAGGGAAGTCGATGAAAACCACTCAGAGACATAAAAAGGACGAGCTCTGTTTCCGATTGACTCAGTGGCTTAAACTAAAAAAACTTCCTTCGGGTGCAAATATTTTTTTTTCCTTGACGTCTTTAGCCAGAAAACTTCATGGCGAGGTATCAGAGCAGTTTGTGCCTTGTAGCCTAAGGCCTAAGCGAATTATATTAGTATGTTTATCTCTAATGTTTTCTATCCAGTCTTCCTGGTAGTGCGCTTCCATACCTTGAGGGGCAAGCCCTCCAAGACACTTTGCGCAGTATCCCAATGCCCACCAGACGCAAAAAAAAAAGAAGAAAACCTGGTCTGAAAGCCCGTACAGCTGGGCTGATGGCACAACCTAAACTTTGGCGCAACGCTGTCTGAAACAATCCGTTCAATATGCGCAATTTCGTTTACTGAAAAGACACGTATAGGGGCATCTGGAAAGCCTACCATGACCACACCGTGTACCCGCTTTTTGTCTTTTTGTGCGTCGCATCGATTTGGGTAGCCCCGTAGTGTCTGATTGTTGCTCGCACCAAACGGATCGCATTCCTCGCCACTGCATACGTCGGTTATTTTGGTTATTTAGGAGAACGCGGCGGGAGACCAACTTTTCTATTCGACGCGCGAACTTTCGACACAGCGAACGTAATTTGTCTCCTGAAATAAGAGATGGCGCGCCGGTGAGCCCACGAACAGCCACGCTGAAGGACCCCGGAGGCTAGGAAACACAGAAGGCCGCCCCGCGTGGGGAACACGTACGTACTGGATAGGAAGGCCGTAATGTTTCAGTTTGTACGTCAGCTACTTGAGGTTTGCGTGGATCACAGACTACACACGAGTGCTGCGTCAGTGTGTGTTTTGCACTGGTTGAACACTGGTTGAACCAGTTGAACACGGACGCAGCACTCGTGTTCAATCTGCGGTCGGCGCTGGCCTACAATAGGAGACGTATAAAGATACAGTGTTACGTCCTTGTTATCAATGGGCTGTTGGTTTTAGACGGTGCTTCTGGTTGTCCCCTTTTTTGTTTCCCCGTCTCCGGGATTTGTTTAGTGCGTTACTTTCTTCTCTTCTTCTTTTTTTTTTTTTTGTCTCTAGCCCAGTCTGAAAGATGCTACACGCACAACAGCACAGAGAGTACCCTTCACAGCTATATTAAGCTATCTTGTTTTCAAGATTTACCTGTGTTGCGTTCGTAACCAAAGCCAACCAAGTCCTCACAAAACGCGACTAAAAGTTTTTTTTGTTTTTTTTTTACTCGGTACATTGATTGTTTTACACAATCAATGTAAACAAAAACAAACAAAACGTTTTGGAATCAATATATTCGAAATAATACAGTCAGGTTTAATAACATCTTGAAAACCAGACCCCTCGATAGAGAAGTGGGCTGAATTAAAATAAAAGAGTCGCGTACTTTGAGACTTTGTTTACTTTAACAGCGAGCGCTTTATGTAATCTTTCTACCACATTCCATTTAAATAAAAAGAGCTTGTATTTCGAGTGTGTTCTACATCATCGTGTAAGACTTATGCGCACGTAACGTCATGTTTTGTTACACTGAAGGCGTCAACGCACCAAGTGCCCTCCTTCCGGTTGTGATTAGCCTCCAAGACATGCTCTCAGTATTCTTCTTTACAAGCAGCATGAATTGCGGGCGGCCTTTTCCACGAGCGAGACCAGTGTTGTATTGGTAATATTTATAACGTTTTACAGGATTTACAGAAGCTTCCCCTGAAAATAAAGTTAAGCATAAAACACCTGCTCTGCTAAAAGGTTTCTAGAAATCGTGGCCTGGCTCAGAAATTAATTGTGGATGCAGCTTTTTTTTTATATTTCTTTTTCAGATGGGAAGGTGGTTTGCGTTTTGTGTTTTCGTGTTTTGTTTTAAAGCCTCTATTTTTTCAACGAGCTGAAGACATGTGGATCAGAGTTGTTTTTTTTTTTTTGTTTTTTTCGTTTATTTAAAGAGCACGTAGTTTGGATACCTTTTGCATACAAGTGTGGTGACGTCTGTATTTATATTTTTTTACGAGATAAAAATACATTTAATAAAACAGCGTTGCCCCGTTTTCCTTCCTCGGCTTCTACAAGGTCATGACGCGACGCCATCAGATAAAATGAGTGGGTGCTCACAGCGCGACTGGATGAGTCGGTGTTCCTAGCTTTAAATCCGTGCAGTGCCATTACGGCGAAAATCCGCGGATGGGGACTGACTGCGGATCATGATGGAGGGTCGCCTTACGGCCGAGTGTCTATTAAGGCGAATTATCGCATCTCGTCGCAGACAGCCATGTAATGAACGTCTCGTCGCACCGGGTCGCATCAGTTACCTTCTTCGGAGTCCCGAAGAAACTAAGTGACGCCCCGCTGTCCTGGAAGCTCCTTTTTGTGCAGATGTAATCCTGTCTTTAGCGTTGATCGTGTCGTTTGCAATGTGGTTACGGCTTTAGAGGTACCTACACATATTGGATACGAATGTAGGTTTAATTAATGCCGCCCCCCCCCCCCCTCAAAAAAAAACAAACAAACAAAACAAAAACAACAACAACAAAAAAACACTGTTATTTTTTAAATTTATTATTCTTTTTTATGCAACCCAGATTTATGAAGAGGTAGGATCCTCAAATTAGGGGCCCGACGTTTCGAGGCCTGCTCGGTCTCTTCTTTAGCAGTGACGGGAACAGCTTTCCTTTTGTTCTTTTCTCTGATGGTGCATTTCAGTATGGGTTGATGATATCATCGCAGAGCCCATTCACGGAGGCGGATGGTAAGACTCCGAGGGGCTTATCAAAAAAGCTTTGTGTTTTTCCGTCTCGTCTCGTCCCGTCCCCCCCCCCCCCCCATTTTTCTGGGTTACAATGTCACTTAAATACGTAGAAGTTCATGCGGTGTTTTGCTTTGTCTACCTTCTTCAGCCACGAAAACTTCTGCGGTGTACTAGTTTCGCTGTTCTAGTTGCTGGCGTTCAAGTTGTTGACGGGCGCAAAGCAGGTCCAGTTTCTTTTTCTTCCTTGGGTGGTATCGTCAGGTGGTATCGCTCTAGTTCGGTAATCCCGTGCCACCCACTCCCCCCTTTTTGTTTCGTCCTTTGCCGCCACAGGTCGGAGAGCTTGCTGCAAGTTAAAGCAGGCTTCCAGAACACCTCTGATTGAATACATTTCGTCGCGGTGCATTCGTAAGACAGATGGGAGACTCCAGCAAGACAAGGCGGAGTAGAATGTGGTTAGAACATCCAACCGGACATTGGGAGACCCGGAGTTCCAATCGGGGCTCCTCCAAAGATTTTGTATTTCGCCGGCTTCGTAGACTTTGATTCATTCGATCAAGTACGGTTCATTCATCAGCATAATCTCGATTATTAGGGGGCTAGCCATGTCCGTATGTCCGTCCGCCGTCGGGTCACGAGCACGTGAGCACGTGCTTCCGTCCTCGTGTAGGGGAAAAAAACCGTATCTTTACGTTGTGAATGATGTTGATTGGGGCGAAGCTCTGCCGGTGCTTGTCTGCGTAGACGCTGAGCCGCAGCATGCCGAGCCTTTCGTTCGTTTTCATCCACGTCAGAAAGAGAATGTGTGGTATGGAACGTGGTTATATACGCATTTGAGCATTTGACCGCAGCGTGACATGGATGAAAACGAACGAAAGGCTCGGCATGCTGCGGCTCAGCGTCTACGCAGACAAGCACCACCAGAGCTTCGCCCCAATCAACATCCTTTACCACGTGAAGATGCGGTTGTTTTTTTGTTTTTTTTTAAGACCGCGTACGACGATAAAACTGCCCGCGAATATAAAAAAACAAATATGCACACCAAAGCACATAAAAAAAAAAAACGCGATGACAACAAGCTTAGCGGTAATAACAGCACGCGACACGCAGCAAAAGCGGCAGGCAGAAATGAGTTTCAGTACGCTTCCCTGCGCACAATGTGATCGCAACGCCAGGACCGCACAGAATAGTGACGACAAGGGAAAAGCCCGTATACGAGGCTCGCACGTGAGATCATTCCGCCC